AACCATTGTTCTCCACGTTTGTTTCTTCATGCCCACAATCTTTTTTTTTTGTGTCTCTGGCCTTCAATTAGTGGTAACTGCTTCGAAGTTTGTTCGAGCCTTATGATTTTTCGTCATGTTTCCCATCTTCCTAAACTCCACCTTGAACCTTGTGGACTTAGAATAATTTCTCCCTTAGTTTATACTTTTTGACCAATTCTGAAAGAAATTTGAGGGTTCTTTAGTTTTGTAGACTTAGAATAATTTCACCATTAGTTTTTACTTTTCGATCAGTTTTGGTTATTTTCAGTCCAAAGACTGGAAAATCTTTAGAAACTCCTTGAAAGGCCACCTTCTTTTCAACAAAAAATAGGCCTCTTCACGTTCTATCAAAACTACTCAAAATATGGCCTTTTTGAAGAGGCTATGTGATTCTCCAAATCCTCGAGAATGTAGCCTTCTGTTTTGACAAAGAATGAGGCCACTCATAACCCTCTAAAACGTCTCAAAATGTAGTCTTCAACAAAGAATAAGACTCTTTTGCTAGTCTTCATAGAAATGAGTCGAAAGGTAGTTATTTTAATAAGTTTTGGACTTAGATTTTATTTTACAATCTCCTGACTTATCATGGTAAAGGATCTATGATTCTTTAATTTTTTAGTCGAAAACTATGTCTATGCTATTGTATTTTGAGGTGTACTTTTCTTTGAAAGAACATAGTCTATTTTCTACCACGAAAGTTCAATAAAGAGTTTTATAACTTAAAAAATGTTTCTTTCTCCAAACACTAGTATTAAGCAAGATGTATATTAACTATTGTAAACCTTATAATTGATTTTGTTGTTTCGTGGCTTGTTAATTAGCAAATATATATATATATAATTAGGTTTATAGAAATAAATAATAAAATAATTTTTAGAATTTTTCATTTATTATAATTAGGTTTTCAACATAATAGTAAATAAATATATATATATATAAAATAAAATAATAGAAAAATTATTAGAATGACAAAACTCATCAAAATAACATCTAAATCTATTAGTGACTTAGATCTTTGTGTGCATATAACCAAATATTCATGACGATTTAAGAATATAAGAACCAGGACTTTCAAAAATATTTTGGTCAATTATATTAATAATCAATAAGATATCTCATATGTTCGGTCAATTTTCTCGGATGAATTATTTTTTGAGAATGTGTTAAATATCATTTTTTAATATAATATAAAAATTATAAAGTTTATACACTAAATAGATACAAATATGAGTATTTAAAAAAAATTAAATTTACATTAAATAATAAATAAATTTTTATAAATATAAATGTAAATCATGATGAAGAATTTGAAAGTTATAAAAAAAAATTAAATTTATAAATATAAATATTTATAAAAAATAAAAAATTTATATTATATTAATAAAAAAATTTAATTAACAATTTCCATCTTTAAAATTTAGAAAAAAATATTAAAAAAGTAAAATTATTTTCATAAAAAAATACTATTTTTGAATAATTTTAATTAAAAATACATAAAATTAATTTAAAAAATTATTAAATTTTTTATTTTTTAAATAATATATTCTTGTTTATAATAGAAAATAATAATTAATTTTTAATATGTTTGACAATTAAGATAATATTATATAATTTTACAATCCAATTTATTGTCTATAAAAAGTATTAAGCATTAAACAATATAATAGTTATTACGAAATAAAATAATTCTCTTTATATATATATAAATTTTTTATTAGATGTTTAATTAAGATTCGTCAAGTGATCACTAAGCAAATTATGTTGAATGTTATATTTATCACATAAAATGTTAACTTCAAAAGTGATAAAGCTTAAATCCTATAAAATGTATTTTTTTTAATTAGTTTCTATTAAATTTTTATTTTAGTTTTAATCTTGTGAAATTTTAACTTTTAAAATAAACTCTAATATTATTTCTTGAATTGTCTTCTTGATTTAGGTAATATTTTTCACTTTATTTTTCTCTTAATAATATTTTAAGTTAATGATATTTAAGTTCAAATAATAAATATTTTAATATTAAATATAATGATAAAAAAAATTAAACTAAAACAAAATAACGAATAATCTCATTATTATCTCAATTAATAAAAAATAGAAATATAGATATAAAGAAATAAAGTAAATCTTCTTTAACTCACACAATTCAATTTTTTTTAACGATAACATTAACTCGTTAAGTATATCTAAAAAAAAAATATTAAGCTCCAATAAATAGTATTTTAACTTTAAATAACAATAATTTAACAAGTATTTTTAAGAGAAAGATAAAATATAAAATGCTATTTAAATAAAAAATATTGATTCAAGAGATAGATTAAAATTTTGCAGTACTAAAATAAAAAAAATTAATAGACACCAACTCCAAAAAAAAATATTTTGTGTATACCAACTACTTCTTAAGTTTTATCACATTTATGTTATTGAACAGGGTCTTAACTACGCATCTATAAAATATTATGATCACGTTACATTTTATTCTTAACGTCTAAACAACGCATAAATGAAATTTGAGGTGTATCTATCGTTTCAGCAGAGGTTACTTTCGTTCCCCCAATAATATCAAATTCGAATTTAAGATTTGATTATACCTTACATCACGAGTTAGTTCAATTATTTGACTTTTGAAACATCAAACTCGCCATGTTAAATGCATTATGTTTATGTTTATTGGGTTAATAAAGAAGCAGCAGCATTCTTCACTCATTCATCATCTGAATCTCGATGCATTGGAGAGCACGTTCCATCACTTTTGTCAACAACATAGAAAAATATATAAAAATGCCCCTAATTGTTGTCGTCTGTGTGTCGCAATTGCAGCGTTTAGGAATTTAGGTCAACGCTTAAAAACTTGATTTAAAATGAATTTAATTTTATGATTTTTATTTTACAAAATTAAAATAATATTATTAAGTTTAACTGTTAAAAAAATAAAAAATTATTATAAATATATAGTTTATCAATTTAATTTAAACATAAATTTTAAGCAAATAATTTTGATTACATTCAAATTAACATAAGTTTTTTTTTAAAAAAAATTAAATTAAAATATATTATATGACTAGTTTTAAATTTAATAAATTTTACAAATGTAAACAAGAATAAATATTTTATCATATTAAACAAATAAATTCATAAATTTATTTTTTTGAAGAATGATTAAATTAATTTTTAATAATCATTTAAATATATATTATATTGAATATTTTAAATTTTAATAAGTATTATATATAATATAAAAATTACTTAATATAATAAAAAAATATTAATACTCATAAATAAGTCAACGTTTGTGCTTAATACGCTTAACTAAAACAAAATAAATAAATAAATATTATAGGTGAAGTTTAATTAGAACTTTTGTTCCCAATAAAAGTTAGGCATTTTTAAAATTGACTTTTTCACAATGTTTTATAATTTTAGGAATTATAGGGGATGGTACGTGGTTTTTTTGAATTTTGTAGGAAAAAAATTAATTAAAAAAATACTAAAATACTATACTTTTCAAACAAATTATTAGAATAAGCAAAACAAATGGTAGAAATTTTGTAAACTCTTCTTAAAAGGATATAACAACATCAGAATGAGATGCATGACAGAAGTATACTGGTTGCTTTTAGTCAACAGACATAACTAAATTAATAATTGACACATGTTACACATACATAAGATGTTAAGGTGGGACAGATGTCATTGGCCTTACACATGACACATGTAGTCATAAAGGCATTACTCACCTGATTATGCCATATATCCACATGAATGAACTAATTTGATGTTATATGGTCTGTGTTTTTTTTTTTGACATCTCTTTTGGACTACAAGTTTTTTAGTTATTTGCGAGTGAAGATAGCAACAAAATTTTATTCTGATTTTAGGGGGACAAGTACTATAAAGGTATGTTTTTAAATTTTTGTAATTATTATTTGACTGCACTCCTCTACACCTTTCTGTAATTGTGATTCTACCACATTAGTTGTAATAGAATTACTCTGTTGCTTATATTTTGTAGCATTTTGCATCTTGCACAATTGACACAGTATTAATTGTAAAGTTGTCTTATCTTTCTGATATAAATTTTAGTCAAATAGATTAAGATTTCACTCTAATGTATGATAGCCATGTCGTGCCTATATTAGACTATTGAACATGAGTGAATTTGCATGAATTCTCTCAAGTTGTGCGCTGTATGTATAGGAATTAAATAAGAGAGAATAATGGTTAATCTACACCTATGCACCCCAAACTAATTTAATAACCAATAGATGAACTATACACTATGAGAGAGAATAAAGAATGACTAAGTGAGCATCATTCAGGTGACTTCCCTAGAAACCAAGTTTGACCCTTTCTTATGTAAACTAGGTATGATGATTTTGACAACCCATAATAATGAATTTAGTATATTATGACATCTTAGAGTTTTTAGGAACACCTAAGCAAAAGTGAGACATAATTGAACAAGGAGGGATTCAAAATGAACATTTCTTAAAGTTGGCTTGTATGCCTATATGCATGAATTCTAATATAGTAGCTAAGAAGTCAACCCTGCTTGATTGTGTTTGTGGTTGTGGAGTAATGTATGCTAGAAATGATAATCAAGTTTGATCATTCATCATAATAAACATGGAAAGGAAAGAAGTATTAAGATAACAGCATGACACAATTGCTGTTCAAGTTCAAAGAAGAACCTTGGGAGTAGTAAAAGGGATGACCAGATGGCGTGGAGTAGCTTACCATGGCTGGGTCACGTCACTAATAAACCTTTGTTAATAGGGAATGTGAGCACTTATTATCAGGGTTGTGGTAGGCTCATTCCTGAATGACACTTCTATAGCACTTATTGCATTATGCGTAATATTTGCATGATAGTGCCTTGTATGTTAGAACTAAATTCACTTTCATGGTGGCCATTATGTAGATTATTGATTGTATTTTGGACTCACCCTTCGGTGTATTTTTTTTTTTTTTGGAATATTCTTTTGTTGTTTGTTTACTGTATACTACAAATGAGTAAGACTAGGTAAGGATTTGAATCATATCTCAGCGAGGAGAACATGTAGATTTACGAGCCAGAAATGCACCGACACATCTATAAGGGCTTGATCACCCTAGGCGTAGGACCCATGACAGATGAGGGCTGGAAGCTCTACTGGAACGACAATATTTTGGTCGAGATTTCAATTTTCCTACCAAAATTGAAATGACATTTTCCTTTTTCTTCATCTATTCCTCTTTCTTCACAACCTTTAGACCAAAATCCTCCCCCTAATCCTCAGGTAACCCTAACTAGCGCCCTATGGAGACTGACCCTAACCCTATCCCAAAGCTTGAGTGGAAGGACATTGAGTCCTCCATTTGCCTTGTTGCTCATCCCCTGTTATTTGTACCTCCTCCACCCGTAGATGAGGTAGGACCTTCCATCCATTGTCCTTCACCATCACCACCTTGACCCTTATCCTGCTCTTTATCGCCTTTCATCTAGTGGAGAGACATTGGTGACAAGTTGCCTCCTTCCCTTTGCCATAGATTTTGGAATGAGCTACCTTCATTCGATGGAATAGAATTAAATCTGACCCTAGTGAGGATTCCATTCCATTGAAAAACTTTTTGTAAATTTATTTTGAGTCATTGATGAGGACTGCACTTAGGACAAAGTCATTTACTTCATTTTGGATTTGATGATTTTGTATGGGGGTTTACTATTTATACTAGTTGGATTGCCTTATTTTGTGAGGAATGTTTGGTTACACTTTGATACATAGATATTTGAAATACTTTATGTATATACATATATGACTACATGCCTATATGTTGCTATCATATGTTGATGCCAAATTTAAAAATATTATTTATGTTTTTATATTTTTGCTAGATTGATTAATGGATTGTTGAGGTTGGACTAATTTTTAAGCCCTCTTGTATGCTGTGACAAAGGTGGATTAGTCATTGTTGAAAATAAGTGGATTAGTCATCATTAAAAATAAGTGCAACAGTGATTTATGACTATAATTCCTATTGTTGATAGGTAAATGGGGGTTGACTTTTTGCGACCTTATATCTTTAATTATTTTTTTTAATGAAATGGCCAAATTTGATATCCAAGTTGAGAGCAATGCTTGGACCCTTGCATGTGTGTTGTTAGCAAAGAGATGAAACGTTTAGTCTTGATTGAAATACTACTTTTGCACATGTATATGTCATAAATGTAAAATTGTTTGTTAGGTGGTGCGAGATAAGAAAATTTTGTCCTTCAACTATGTCCTAGAATGTAATATCATTATAGTAAGATTTCATTATGGATACACAAATTAGAATAATAAGAAGTATTATCTTTAAATAAATAAATAATGTCAAGAAAAAATAGGATTTTTTTCAATTTTAAATAAAAAAAAACATCATACTTTAAATATTTCATCTTCTTGTAAAATATTGAAATGTCTTTTTTTAAAAAAGAATATAAGTTAGTATTAGAAAAAGACTATCACGATTACTTACCCCAATCAATCATATGAATATCACGAATGTCCTATCCATCCATGTTAATTAAACAACATGCATAATGAATATGAGAGTTAACATGCATAAAGCGATGTCTTGCAATTTATTATTATTCATCGTGAATCTCACAACTAGTAATCCATATAAATAACGAGTTTTTTAAGAAGTATATATTACTTTGAATATATGAAGCAAAAGGAGTATATATTTTTGCAGTATTAGTCATTTTTTCATGACACTTGAAGGGGTGAATTTCTAAACATAGCATAATTAGTTTAGAAGGTTAGAGGATAATTAAATATGCATCATGTTAGAAACCAAGAGGTACATTCGGGGTGAAAGAAACGCATTATTGTAGAGGTTTATCTTAAGCTTTCAACTTCCACCACTTTAAGTTTGAATATTAAATGGTTAACAATGCGAACTAATTCCCTTTCAATGCACTAAGCCAGTGTGTAATGACTCAAAATATTTTTTAACCGTTTTATTTTTTGGCTTATTTTGTTCATTAGGCTAAGCGAACAAGATAAGGCCCAAGACAACTCCTAATGGGCCCCTTTCAATGCCTTAAGCCCGAATATTCAGCCCAAAACCAATAAAATATCTGGGAAGTTTCTTTTTAATATTTTTAATTACATTGCCTTTCTCTTTTCTGAAATTTCATTTCAAAAATATATTAAACATTCTTCTAAACGTGCAATGTGGGGTTGTTTTTCTGGGAATTTTGTACCCATAAAAGAATATTAGACAAACCAAAAACAGGTTCTCCTTAGAGACTATGCAGTTCAATGATTTAAAATTCAACCCGCGATTAAATCAGTAGGTATATTAATTCACCATTTAATAATTCAATCATAGTTAAATTAGGCTAAATGGGTAATCATTGAATAAATGTTTTTAATATTGTATAATATGATAAACAATAAAGCTCCATAGTATCGTACGCACAGCCCTTGAGGTGCATTGAGTCCGATAGGTCCATCAATTAATTGGTGTATATTACATTATCCTTTTTACAAAATTTTTAAGGAGAAAAAATGGTATCACATTTCAAAGTTTGGTATCAATCAAGACTATGGTCCACTTTGAATTAACTTTTAATAAATACTTAGGAGTAAAAAATTAAATTAAAATTCTATTTTAAAGTTAAAGTGTATCATTAATCTTTGAAGTGGTTTAGAGAGGCAGCTGAAGAATATGGCGATGAAGAAGAGTGGCAGAGTTAATATGGTTGGCCCAATCTTGCCGCAATGTTGCAACTTGTAAATTTATCATGCATTCCACGAATTTTATTGAATTGAAATTGTATTTTGTAATTATTTCAAGTTTTATAAACATTAAGTAATTAAAAAATTAAAGATATATTATGAAAATTTAAATTAAGATAAATTACAAAGATTAAAGACTCGATGCATAAAAAATCACAACAAATTGAAGAAGACAACTAAAAACTAAAAAATATTCTTGTTAAAAATAACTTTTAAAAAGACTCATTTAAAAATTAAAACTCACATTATATATAAAAGTGAATTCTCAACAAATTGAACAGAATTCAGATATTGACACAAGTATAAAAACAAAAAATCACAATGTACATCATAATAATTATCTAACATACCAATAGACTTAACCAACCCACAAAATGAAAAGAAAAAGAAAAAAGAAAACCTCGATTTAAATGAAAATCAATAGATAAAAACTATGAAAAAATTTAAAAGCGAGTTGTGCAGTAGTTGGACTCAACACTAAAAAATGAGGCACTAGGGACATAATCTTTCTGAATTTAACTCTATAAGAATGTATACTATCTAAGATATGATTCTCTTTCCTTTAACCTTATCCTTGGGGGCACCTTTATATGGTTTTGATAAATCCAATGCTTCACCTGCAGTATGTTTCTTGCGCTTTGTGACCCCAATGCTAGCAGGATTACCAATGGGACCTGACCAAGCTTGGAATGGTTCCTTTGAAAAAGTATATGAAGTTGAACCCATAGAGGCATCGGGAGGAACAATATCTGGATCAATATGATTTGAAGATCCCAAAGGATACCCAAGTTGTCCATCTTCATGTGGTGGAGGGAACTTTTCACTCTTGCTCTTTGCATTTGCATGAGTGATTAAACGCCTTCTCTGTTACATGTTAAATCATAGCAAAAAATTTTAATCAATGTTACTTTTTACTTTCAATCATAATTGTACAGATTTTCAATTATAATAAATGAAAAAGAAGTTTATTAGAAGAAAAGCAGAAGTGCAAAGACAAGCAAGAATAATATAGGACAAAGCCACAAACACACACAAAAAAAGCAGCAGCAAATCAATAGCTTTCAATCATCATCTAATTTACTGCTAGAATCTTACTAATCTACTGGAAATCATAATTCCCAGATATCTGTGTCAGGATGAGAATCATGAAGAAATTTCAGTAGCCAAATTCCAACCGTTCTTTCTACTTACTCTTTCAATTATTTCAATTAATTATGCATTCTTGGAAGATATAATAATCTCAAAGCACATTTATTCAGTGACTTCGTAAACCAATGCATCAAACACATAAATGATTATCAATAGAAGTAATTTTCTTTAACACATACATCAATATTGGACTGAAGCTCAGCATTGGCTTCAGGAGCAGGAACAGCTTTTACAGCACGATCACGTGTTCGATGCTTCTTTGCACCATCAGCATGAGCTTTGCCTGCAGCTCTTAATCTGAATGTTCATAATCAGAGAGTATCTCAGAGTTGGTCGAATATAATAGTATGGCTAAATTAAAATTTGCGGAGGTTAACCAAAAGGAACACTTTTCACTTTAGTGATCTCTATAAACAGTGTGTATATATCATCGTGTGTTTGGGTGGTGTAAGTTGAAACAGACTCCCTTTTATCTGCTCACCATCTTTAATGATGTACAGTCATAACTCATAAGATTAAAGCATGGTTAAAAGGAAAAATATAGTTTCAGTCTATATCACTACTGTTAAAAAAGAGAATATGTAAACAGTTTCAGTCTCCACTTTTTGTCCCAAAAGTTCCAAAAGAGCAATCATTATTATCTGCATATCTATAAGTTACTGAAAAAGATACAAGGTTATAAATAACATTGAATAATTTAAATAGTAAAAAATATATTTGTTAACCACATCTTCCACTTTTGCCCTTGGTGCCCATATCCTCCACCCACTTTCATCTCCAAATCCTTTTTTCTTTTAAAAAATATCTCATTGGGTTTTTTCCTCCCTAAATATTCATATTTAGTGTGCACCAAACTTCTGGCATGTAGAAAGCAAACTTAAGAAGAAAGATACCTCCTAGTTTCATCATCCCGTCGTTTAGCATCCATTTCCTTGGTGGGGGGGTATTTTGGAAGACTAGAAGGATCACAAGCATAAGGTTCGGTGGTAAAAAACTGCAAAATGATAGGAAAGTCAAGCACACTAAACATATATGGGTCTAATTTCTGAAAAAGAGCATCTAAATTCAGCAAAGATAACATCTACATCAGATTCAATAGAAGTTTCAATTAATTAATATTAATATTGGAATATGCACATATCTTATTGTGATCATTTAAAATATGCCATTCATTCCATCATTTAGGACCTTCATTTACTTATTATTCCAAAGAAAACAAGCCACAATGAATTGACTTCCAATGTTACCCAGACACTATTTGATTTTACATAAAATCAAACTTGTTGATCCTATTCCAAGAAGGGATACATATTCTAAGCTAAACAAAGCTTAAGAGAGAGGCAGATCATCAGGCTAAAACATAATTACAGTAGTTTTCCTCTGGTAACATTCAAGATTTGATGGACTATTCACATAAAGCAGCAGTTTACAACATTCAAGCACACTTTTGTTATCTAAGATATCCAAGACAAGTAGCTGAAGAATCAAACTCCCTGAAGATTGTTTAAAAAATAGTAGCATCCAACTGAAATTATTGTAGTTAAGGATCATACTGCCTGATAAAATTAGTTACACTTCACGAATAAGTCTCAGGCCTTTAAGAAGTTCAACATGTGACTTATTGTATATGTTTCACAAGAGAGATTTGAGGATGTGCTTTAGGCAATCTACACACACTAGGAATAAATCAGGATCCAATAGATTACAACAGTCTAAGCAACATGAAATCATAATATCAATAACAATGCAATATAAAATTTAAGAACACCTGCCAGCATTTTAATGACAAAAAGACCAGGAATTTTCAAAAGCCCACCTCACTTCTTAGAGCATCTGAGGCAGTCTTCCGTTCTGCTGGATCAATTGCAAGAAGAGTATCAATAAGGGGCATTGCAGAAGGTGGAAAATCTATAAATGTCTCTCTTATGCATCTCTTGTATGGTTCTCGAGGTTTAAACAAGGTAGCATTAGGCAATTTTGACCTTTTCCAATACTCATCAGAAGGTGAACCACAAAGTTTGTATATCTTATGCAGTTGTTCCACCTATGTAAGTATTCAAGAAAAGGGTCAGAAAATATCCAATGGAGATTTCAAATAAGTAGCAAATAAAATGCAAGAGATATATCCTTAATGGCTTAATGCAATACAAATTCCCTCAAATTACACAAGAGTTGTTTGAACTAAACATATGATATATTATACTACCTAAAAAGGGTGATTTGCTGAAAAGTGAAAACAGACTTGGAGACGCATTTAAATAAATAGAGAGAGATCTTGTAAGCATTGTAGAGAATGTAGTTTCCTAGTTATCAGTCCCCAACTCCCCATTGCATAACTAGGTAAGGAAGCAAAATTATTAATACTCTCTTCATAATCACAACTCACAAGTACCGCTAAATCCTTAAAAATGCATGTGTCAATTATCCTTCTACTTTTGAGGGGGCATTACTCGATTTAACCTTTAACACAACTAAATAATAGTGGGCAAATTATGACTTTCTAACAGTCAACCAAGAAAAATGTTTTAGGAAATAGCATTGTGAATTAGTAATAGGTCCACAGCTTCTGCATGTGCAATTCTGCTTTTTCAGCTTTTCTTAGTTGATTTCTCATTGATTGCATGTCTACATATTCATTTCAGCTATGCACAATGCCAACCTTCTAAATGGAAGTACAGCACACAGAGCTTGGGTTAAATGTACATAGGCTTACCCTCATGAGAAGAAAGGGTTAGGGAGGGGGGAGGGGTGGCAATGCATTAAGTATAAGGTTCATACATGCATGTTCAGAAAGTAAACTCTTTTGTTAGGGCATGTAACTTCTTTTTAATTGTTTCAAAGCAGAAAACATATTGAAGTACCACCCTAACTGTTATGCAGAGATTTGAGGGTAATGAAAAATCCTATTAGCCAAAACAAGACATAATAAGTTTTCACCTCTGTACGACCAGGCATAATAGGTTTCCCAGCCAACAACTCTCCTAAAATGCAACCAACACTCCAAAGGTCCACACCCACACCATATTCTGTTGCACCAAGAAGCAACTCAGGAGGTCGGTACCAAAGGGTAACTACACGATTAGTCATGGGATGTCTGTGGGATGGATCAAAGAAAGATGCAAGTCCAAAGTCAGCAATTTTAAGTACTCCTTCATTGTCAATAAGAAGATTGGACCCTTTAATATCACGGTGAAGTACATGTCGATTATGACAGTGCTCAAGTCCTGATAGCAGTTGATGCACGTAACATTTAACCTGCAGTAGGAGAAACATAATATTTGGAGACATCAAATACTGCCAATTGAAAAAAAAAAAAAAAGTGTACCAAATGATATCATTTATTTCTTAGATTATTAAGGCAAACCTGGTCTAACCTGAGGCTCTGTGAACTTGATGTCAGGGCTTGCAGCAAGTCCAGCTAAATCATGCACCATGTAATCAAACACCAGGTACAAACTCAAGGACATTCTTGATGTAACTAAACCTTCTAGCTTTATAACATTGGGATGATCCAATCTTCGCAAAATAATAATCTCTCTAGCCATGAATTTTACACTCTCAGGTTCCAAATTGTCAAATCGAACCTTCTTCAGTGCAACAATCTTACCCGTCAATGTATCTTTAGCTTTATATACATTACTATAAGTTCCTTGACCAATCTAATACGAAAGGAAAATTAAAAGAAAAAGAAAACAAGTATGAGAAGAGCATAAATATTTTTAGAAGCAAATGAGAGATTCTACACTATATAAGTTCTTCTGCTAAAAAGTTTGCAGACTTGATTCCTTGCAATGATCATTCCAATAATGCATCATGTTTTTGGACAACACTATCACAGCAACAGTCAATCATAATCTCCATTGATGAACTTGAAACCACATCCACATATCCCTAATATGGTATGACAGATCAAATGCATTTCCATTTCAAGTTAAATGTAACACATGCACCTAAAAAAACTTATGCTGAAGATATTTACCAGCTAATATAAACTCACCTTATCAATTTTCTCAAATGTGTCAGCCTTTCGTGGAATCCACCCACTAAGTGCTTCTCCACACACTGCTGTAAGCCAAGGTGGCCACCCAGCTGCTACTTGCTCCCCCTGCAAATGCTTTGGTGGATTACTTAGCCTTGGATTTGGCTTTGATTTTCTTCTTTCACCCCTCGGCCGCTGAACCCCATCAACACCACCCTTCTCTTTCTTCTCCTCCCTCTCACCATTATGAGCCTCTACCACGTTCCCCTCGACTCGGCTAGGGGACACTTCATCAACCTTCTTGTTGGACTCAACACTCAAATTCTTCTCTTCCTTCACTTCAGAGATTATTCCTGATGAGACTTCTCTGCTAATCACACACCCCATTTATTCTCCTCCACCTCAAGCTTCATTCCCTTGACATGGCTTGTGTATTTGAGGGTTTCTGATTACCAAACAATCACCCCACTAATCTAGTTTAAGAAAAAAAAACATGATCATGATTATGAATGACTAACATACTTTTTACCCTTAATCAATTTGGTAATCCTACAACAATTGGTGAAATCATCCCGTGAAAGCAGCAAACATGTGCATCATGTGGTGAGAAGAATTTGGAATCAAAAATTAAAACCTGATGTTTGAACGATCATAGACCCACAAGATGCACGAGCACAAACAGACCCAGTGATCAATTTATAATTCAGTTGACGTCAAAGGTAGCAAGATTCAGCGTCGTGTCAAAGTGATCTATCTACATACAAGGAAAGTGAAAAATAAGATATTTTTATTTATTTATATTTTCCCAGATAGAGCACGTGATGGGTTTAGAAAGAAAAGGGGCAAAGAACAAAAAACAGAAAAAAGATTGTGATATGTAGCAGAGAGAGAGAGAGAGTCTTACAGTAACAGTAACTGAAGCTGGGGTTTCTAATTGTGTAAAGAGAAGGTTGTCTTGTCTCAGAAGTGCCTATGTGGTACTGTTTACCTGCGTTTGTCTGGTGATGTTGTTTGGTTTTTTGTGGGTCTGAGACAATAGAAGGAATATATGGATGATGAGATCTTCGCACTCTCACAAAAAGTCAAAGCTCTCAAAATCTCTTTCTTTCATCTCTGCTCATTTCATCATCTCATACATATACTCTTCCTGCTTCCTAAATTCATCAGTATTTATTATTATTATTTAGCGGTTTCCATCTATCTTTCTATTTTCAGTGTTGAAGTGATCAAGCCTTCAAGTAAAAGAAAAAAAAAAGAATAGAATAGAGAATCACAAAACAATAATTAAATTGCTAAATAATTATTAAAGCCAGGAACGGAATTGACCGACTTTAACATTATGAAATGAACTGACGGTATTATAATTAGAAGACTGATAATTTTTTTAATAATATCGCTCTTTAAAATTAACAAAATAATTTCCTGTCTTTAATTAATGAGTATTTAATATAACAATATTATATAATAAAATATTATTTTGGTACATACTATTCATAATTATAAAATTAAATAAAAATAATTTTTAAAAATTATTAATTATTTGAAATAATTTTATTACATACCTATTAATATTTATTAAATATCAATTTTTTCTTTGATTATAAAATTATCCATATATTTATAATAAAATAAATTAGCGTTACGTACTAGAAGACTAGTTTGAATATTAGTTTTATTTAAAATAATTTTTTTAAGGTATTTTGAACGAAACAGGCAACACAAACAGCAACTACTGTACTTTTTCATTATTGGCATTAGAAGCTATTATTGTCCCAAAATCATACTTCTATATATATTGCAGCTTATGAAGGTTTTTTCAATGCCACGGAGGTTCTTATCAATAATACATAAAAAATGCCCTTTGAAATTATTGATTTATAGCCTTAATATTTAAAGAGAGACTGTATTAATGTCGATTTTAAAAGTATGAAAACGTCATTTAAAATGGAGATGCAAAATCTATTTTGCCTATTTTCTATTTTTAAAAATACAAAAAATTTGTTTGTTAACATAAATTTTATTTTTTAAAATTATTTTAAAATATATTTTATAAAAAAAATTAAAAACTAAAAAAAAGAAAGCCGTAATCTGCTCTTTGCATTAGTAAAAGATTTTTTATTATTGTTTTTTTTTTTTTCCCGGCAAATGGTCCTTCCTCCTTTAGCTTTGTTGGCTGATTGTGCTGCTACATATTCTCCTACAGGAGATTTCGATTTTTTCGAGGATAATAGTTTTTTCACACCCTTTCTAGAGAAAAAAAAAATATTTTGTGAGTATTAAAATTTAAATTCAACTTTTTTTTAAAAAATGTTATTAAATAGAAGCATTTTTAAAGATATTATCGAATGGAAGTATTTTTAGGAATTATTATTTTTATCATGTCAAGTAACTTTTTTACATTATGTATTTATATTTTTAAATTTAATATGAATTTAAATTTTGAATAATTTAAATTTAAATTTAAATTTAAATTTTATTTAAATGGTATAATATTATTATTAATGATTATAATCTTTATTATTTTTAAATTTATTAAATTAAAAAATATACAATATTTTTTATTATTTATTTAAAAATTATTTTAATTTGACGATGTCTGTGCAATACATAAAAAAATTACTAGTGTGATGAAAAAGAAAAAGGAAAATATAGAAAAAAGGAAAATGTTAAAAGAATGTAGAAGAATATGAACATGAAAAAACAAGCCCTTTATTGCCACGAAAACAAATATTTGACTTGAAATGATATGATATAGTTCACATTTATTGCTTTAAAGAAAATAATCAACAAAGAGCCGATTCATATCAATTAGTAACACAAAGAATCAATTGCCCTTCAAAAGCATCGTGTTGGCATGAAAAGAACTTTTCAACTTCAAAATATAACGTGTGACAGCAGAAGTTGAGGGTGTCATGAACCTTGGAGGAACATCCATTGGTACTTCTCTATGTTGTGGTCTGGAAACTGCAGAAGTGGGGGTCATGCCATAAACTTGATGGGAACTTGCTTTTAAGGGGAACTCTATGAACAAGACTACACTATATATAGAGACTATTCTCCATTCTCCAATAAGAACCTATTATACTTTCTCCTCTTGTATCTCCCTCCATAATTGTTACTGTTGATCTGGCCCTTCTTAAGTTGATTGGAAACAAGTTTGAAATGTAAAATGGTCTTGACGTGGCAATAGAGAATTTTGGTCCTACACCAATTGATGCTAAGGGTTATATGAGTATGTACCTTATGATCATTTGATTTAATATACAAAAGCAATATACACCAATGAGAATTGATAAACAATTACATATTTGACAAGTCAATCATGAGACCATTTCTTTGCTGCCAAAGCTCTACTTGGATTGGACCTCCTTTTGCAAGGGTGTTAAGAGCTACCTCAGCTGCAGCATGTACTGCCACTGCTTGTCTAAGAGTAGAGCAGAATGTACGGCTTCCAAAATGTTTACAGTTGTTCTGAAACGAGGAACATCATCTGATAGCTTCTTTGAGCCAACTCTTGCAACTGGTTCTTATGCAAGTCTCTACACGAATGAACCCACAGGCCTAAGTTGAAAAGAATTTTTTTTTTTTTTATAATTTTAAGAAAAGGGGAGAATGAAAGCAATCAGAAACTTCAGTTAATTTGAGAAACTGTAATGTCCATGAACAATTTAACAAGTTTTTACCCCATGTCAGATGCTTAAAAGAAAAGAAAAAGTAGAATATCCCAGTGCAGTAATAAATTAAAATCATGCTTGAGAATATGATAAAGAATATATCAACTTGCTACGTACTACCAGTGAGCAACTTATTATTATCTACCCTTTTATTCTTTGCATCAGCCTCACATCACACTGTATGTTAGGAAAGAAGAAAAGCAAAAACAGGAAATCTCTTCAACTATGTATACATGCCATGCTTGCAGGTGGGCAATTTAAGATTAATTCTGCAAAATAACAGAAACTAGAGTAACATTCATAACATGACTTACGATTTGATGGTAATAATAAACAACTAAATAACAAAGTATTCTTTGGGCCATGCTCAAATTGAATTCATTTCTATACAAAGTAGGGAATACTGAAAGTATAGCAGTTTCGGATATTTTCTTATACATACATCAGTGCTCCACTAAACCTTGTCAAGGAATAATATAAACGGATACAAACATAATCATCATTTTTTTTTTCAACTAGGTATATCACAGTTGCACAATAAAAACACAATAACTAAAGTAGATCCAGAATTAAATAATCTATATATTTTTTGGTTTATAACGTCTTGTCGTGCATTGAATCAGCATCAACCAACTAACATTAATACTAGAAGTTATGAAAGGTTAGTTATAGTAATATGATAAGGAAGAAATCATCCAACCAAATCTTTTAAGATAAGTCCGCAAAGCGTAGAGCAAAAGGATTTGGGCGTGAGCGAGCTGGTACTTTAGAGTTGTGGTAAATCTTCATGCATTCGAGAAAATTTTCCCCAGAAAATGATAGAAAACTGGGAGGAAAATGAAATGGGAATTTGATTCATAAATTTAATTAAATTAAAAATTTAGTGCGTCTACTTTCGGGACAAAAATAATTATTCGTATTTAATGATATTTATTTATTATTTTACATGTGTTTTACATATGTTACTAGGCGAATCATCAATGTCATAGGCACCAGCCACTAGGAAAGGATAATTATTTAATTAGCAGTCGACGTGCTTATTCATTTATTTTACACTACTTTTGTCTCTAAAACTAGGTAGACATACATACATCATCGTACCAACAAAGTATACATATATTCGACAAGCCAACTTACTAAAAGGGCACCTGAGAAACCATATTCGACACACGACATTAATTGTTCTCTCTCTCTCCCTCTCTTTCACACACACATACACATATATATTTATCAGAAGGTCTTGCCTTTGAACTTCTTCTCAGCCTCCCTATGATTGATGACATCAAAGGGTGTGAAGCGTGGTTGTAACGGTGAACGTGGTTGAGCACCCAGCACAAATTTATTTAGCCTTTCAGCTTCATTTTCACCATTGGGCCCTCCGTTGTTGCTATGCCCATTCAGCCCTGCGGCTTCTTTCATTAACAACTCCATGGCCTCATCAATATCATGTGTTGCCCCACTTAGTGGGGTCACTTTTCTCGGTGCTGCAGCCCAACCTGAACTTCTTGGGTCAACCCCAGAGCTAGCGGGTCTGTGCCCTTCTCTGTTGTTGTAGTCATTCTTAACAGCACTTCCAATTGGCGCGCGCGCTTCTTTGTTTCCATAGTCACCACCATATCCGTTAGTAGCATTATAACCATCATGGTTATCATCCCTAAAGGCACCCACAGTCGGCTTGCGTCCTTCCCTGTTGCCACCGTAGTCACCATAACCATTCTTAATGGTACTTCCAATAGGCTTACTCCCTTCCTTGTTGCCGTAGTTGCCATAGCCATAGTTAGTACCATCATATGTGTCATTCTTAATGGTATTTCCAATAGGCTTGCCCCTTTCCTTGTTGTCATAGTTTCCATAGCCATAGTTATTACCATCGTATGGGTCATTCTTAATGGCACTTCCAATAGGCTTGCTCCTTTCTCTGTTGTCATAGTCTCCATAGCCATAGTTAGTACCATCATATGGGTCATTCTTAATTGCACTTCCAATAGGCTTGCTCCTTTCCTTGTTGTCATAGTTGCTATAGCCATAGTTAGTACCATCATATGGGTCATTCTTAATGGAATTTCCAATAGGCTTGCTCCTTTCCTTGTCATAGTTGCCATAGCCATAGTTAGTACCATCATACGGGTCATTCTTAATGGTACTTCCAATAGGCTTGCTCCTTTCCTTGTTGTCATAGTTGCCATAGCCATAGTTAGTACCATCATACGGGTCATTCTTAATGGTACTTCCAATAGGCTTGCTCCTTTCCTTGTTGTCATAGTTGCCATAGCCATAGTTAGTACCATCATACGGGTCATTCTTAATGGCACTTCCAATAGGCTTGCTCCTTTCCTTGTTGTCATAGTTGCCGCTCCTTTCCTTGTTGTCATAGTTGCCATAGCCATAGTTAGTACCATCATACGGGTCATTCTTAATGGCACTTCCAATAGGCTTGCTCCTTTCCTTGTTGTCATAGTTGCCGCTCCTTTCCTTGTTGTCATAGTTGCCATAGCCATAGTTAGTACCATCATACGGGTCATTCTTAATGGTACTTCCAATAGGCTTGCTCCTTTCCTTGTTGTCATAGTTGCCATAGCCATAGTTAGTACCATCATGTGGGTCATTCTTAATGGTACTTCTTATAGGCCTGCCCCTTTCCTTGTTGTCATAGTTGCCATAATTTGTAGCATAACCTCCAATTGGCTTGTTGCTTCCGTATGCATTAGCACCATTATAAGGTGTTGGCGGTGAGGAGTGTTGTAAATCAGGTAAAGCCACGGGAATGGACTTAGCTTGACGGCCAGCTTCATTGGGCAACTTGGTAGGAAACTCATCAACATGACGTGGGGAACCACGAACTTCATCGTCAACATAAGGCGTACTAGAAACGGGCACTATTGTTTTCTTGGTAAGTTGGCCCTCTGAGTTACCTTTAGGGATGAAAGGAACAAATGGCTTTGCAGCAGTAGTACTAGTATTGAAGGTGGAGATGCTTCGGTATGAGAAATTATACTCTCCCATGCTCTTCTTAAGACACACTCCCTCTCCTCTCTCCTCTCTCTTTGGTTCCGACAATTCTTTCTACTTAAAACCTCCTACGACTTCTAGTTATATATAGAAAAATAAATTAATGAAACTTTGCGTTTGAACTAAGCAACAATGTGTCCCCACCCAATAGCTGAAGACAGCAGCGTCCACATGAGAATCATATACTACTTGAGGCGAAATCAACACGTATGCATTATGTTTATGTTCTTACATTGACGATTAATTATACCGTGAGTGAAAAAGTATCGAATCCTATTCTGTCAATAAGTGGATGGAAGCGTAAATTCCATTGCATTTAGTGACATACATCGTTTTCCATCAACGGATGGGAATGAACTTGTTCGTTGATGTTGGACTCCACCGTGCAGAGAATAAAGTAAAACGGACCATGAGAAAAAAGAACACGGACCGATTTCAGCGAAGGCAAGAATCTACAAAAATGTGTGTAGTCCAAAAGAGTATCAGTGAGGTGGGCATTGGGAGATAAGAGTCGAGTTCTCTCGAGAAACATTAATCGAACAAAATTATGCCAGCCACATCTTCTAAATTTTTTTAAAGAGAAACTATATTTGTATGACAAATATATACAACATTTAGTGCAAATAAATGAAGTAATAAGAATATACATATATAAATTAATGCTAGTAAATAGAAGCAATTTAGGTGTAAAAGACAGTAATTTTACCTTTTTTTTTTATCGATTATGAACATAGATATCCCTTCTAATAGGTTAAGATGCAAAATAATAATATTTATTTTAAATAATTATTCTTTTAATTTATCATAATATTTTATAATTATTTTTTTCTCAAATTTCACTTTTAAATTGTTAAATTATTGCAATCAAACATTTTTAATTTTTTAATAACTAAAATTAAGTTCTTCCATCCTTTTTATCTAAAACTTTCAATTTTTTTAAGCTCTAAGAACTAGATTTATCTAGCCATTTTAATCCATCTTTTAGTCAGTATCTTTCAATCAAAAACATTATATTTTATTTTTTTTTCTCAAAAATTCTTTAATTTTTTAAGCTTCAGAACCTTTACCTCGCACTATGAGAATTTTTTTAATTCTAAACTTTCAAAAACATTTTAAATCTCGAATTCATCTCAAACTTTTAGTTATTTAAATAAAAACTAGACATTTCAAGATTTTATATAAAAAAAAAGCGCCAGAAAGACTTAATTCTAATAATTTTAAACATGAGAATAAGAATCCAGAAAACCTATCCTCCCTTAGTTCCATCCACCGTCATGTCAAATGAATGCAATATGAGAGTTATTATTTACTTCACAATCAAATTTGAACCTTATCATGCGTCCAGAAGCGAAGAAACCCAGAATCCCTAGATTCACCGTGGTAACTCTCATATGATTTGCTAGTTCCGTTGTTGCGTAACTTTAGCTAAATTAGAACGTATACCTAAAGAAATTGCTCGATTCAATACACTATATGAAAACGTTAGAAAATAGGCATCAGAGGATAGAAATAACCATCCCTAAATAAAACCAGCACCTGCCATTGTTTGTGATTCCAGTTTCCAAAATCTTCAATTCTGGACTCCGCATATACACACAAAACAAGGGCACACAACACGGTATGAGCGAGACCATTTAGAATACTTGTAAAGTGCAAATTCAACATAAAACCACAAAGCAACCCAGGATGTCAGATCGAATACAGTCAGCTCCAATGGCAGAGAAGCAAGGGGAAGAATAAGCAGAAAAGGACACAAACAGGAGGTGACTGATTCTAATTTGTACAAATGAAAATAATACTACATGCGATTAACAAAATTTTAAAATGAAAAAGAAACATAACGGGTGAGGATGTAAGATACACTTGTAGAACAGAATCTCTGGCTAGGCATATAACTCCCAACTCAAATGTACAATTTTTTGTGGTCATCTCTAAATATAATACCTACTTCCTGGAAAACATCCCATGTGATCCCACTAATTGTCAACATAACCCATTAGAAAACCTTCATCTTGCCAGACACAATCCATGAACCTGTCATTTCCTGTTAAAGTATGCACGCCAACTAGATATAAATCAAAATTTATAGTAACAGCTCCCTGCTAACGCAAAATCTATCCAAGCAGGTTTGAAGAATGCCACTTAATTTGGTGATCAATGAGAGTTTAGAATATACAAGCGTCTTACAATGCCACTGATCAAAGCAGGCACCCCAGCAGAATCAATGTTCAGAAATGATTTTCACAATCACAGCACAAGAAAACCTGCAAATATTAGTAATGATGAAGACTGCAAACCTTTCTGAGAAATCAATCAAAGAAAAATTGGGCATGATAAGTTGAGTGTAAATTAATACGTAACCCTTTAGAAGTTATTTTTTATACCAATAAGCACCATTCAAACCCAGGCAAAACTTGCAAACTTATTTTCTTCCAGATTGAGAGAAAATTTTATTCGAAAAGTTTCAGTTTAATAACTTCATATCACCCCATCTGCAACATAATGGCTATAAAGCCTTCTCAATTTGGGGAGCAACATAGGCATCAATCAGAAAAGAAATTCGGAATACCATCCTTGTCTTCAGTTAGCAAAAGAAATAAAATACATAAAAACAAAATGCAGGTACAAATGCCATGAAAGCAATAACATCATGTGTAACTAAGAAAAGCCAAGAAACACTCAAGTTGCTATACCACCTTTGATGGAAGCGCATTTTGCAGTCACCTCCCTTGAATTACTCTGTAATTTAGGACAAGGTCATCTGTTTTCTTCCATATATAAGCTCGCACTGTGGCTAAGCTCATTTCAGGAGACAATATCTGGAAATAATAAAATACAGTTGGCTGAATGCAAAATACTTAAACAAAGAATTAACATACAAGCATAATAACAAATTAAATCAAACTAAATGATTTCCAGTTGAATAGATTTGAGCAAAACATAAAAAATTGTTACTGTGATAATCAAAATAATCAGAAGACATAAGTTTGAATATTTCATTAAAATATCCAGAAGAAAGTTAGATAAAACTGCAGGAAAAATACAATTATTAGATATTTTTTAAGACTTCAATTTCAGTTAGGAGCATACAATGTCTGGAAATAAATTTCTAACAAGGAATAGTATATCTTACGCATTCAAGTCTGAGAGCAGAGTATTTTCAAGTCTCATTTTCTGTGCATCTTATCACATCAAGTGAAGATAACCTAAAACGTGACTGATAAAGGTTCTTCTTGTTGAGTTTATAATGTTTTAGGCATAAAGGGAGGGAGAGGGATAGAAGAGATTTGATATTAATAGAGATGTATTATAATGTATTGATTGTATTGACGTATTTGGTATGTTCATGAAACCTAACGCATTAACCCTTATCTATTTATACTAAATATAATCCTAACAAATTAGAGAAACAAATCACGATAATATATATATATATCCTAGAATATTTTAGAGTATCTAAGATATTATTTCTTAAGATAAGTTTTTAGATTTTCTCAGGTTTCATATTTCCTAATATCCCATTATTTATTTCCTTTTGTAGGAATTATTAGTATAGGAACAAATGCACTAGGTTTTTCTATCATACATACATCTCATTGCAATATATCAAAATATTATTTAGCGTCAAAATAATTTGAAGAAGGAAGAGGTAAAAAAAACTCTTGTTAAAATGATGATTTAATGAACTTTTTTCACCAGAACATGCAATCCTTGGAGTGTACTCGAAATTTGGGTAGTTGTGTGTTAGAGAATGTTTGAAACTTTTCCCATGCAAATATATAAATTGTAAAATTGTTTTGCTATGAATTCATACATATACTCGAGGAGGTATTGAATTACGTTAAATTTGTTAATTCTTTTGCTTTCTCTTTTCTTAGCATGATGCTTTCTAGAACAAAAAATGTCGAAGCTTCTCTCTCCTGAAGTATCAAAGTTAATGGTGCATTCAAGTGACTAGCTCAAAACAATGTTGTAGAGCAAGGATGAGGGGAAACAAAAGAAAAGCAATATCATTTCTTTTCGAGAGAGCAAGAGAGTTGATGGGATATATAACATGTAAGAATTGTAGTAGAGCCAATAGATTTCAGAAAACTGAGAGAATAGCTTTTAATAAAGTGAAAAAGTATGAGGCTTTAGATGAAAAGAGTATATAGTGTTAAAGTAGCTACTATGCATAAGTTTCACATTAAAAGACTTAAGGAAGAGAGGTAAAAACATATATAAATATGAAGATTCAGTATGAATTTTCTCAGCACAATATGTTGTTTCTTGAATGTGCTTAAAACTTGGATAGTAGTGTGTTAGAGAGTGTTTACAATTTCATCTGCGCAAAAATTGTAAAATGTTTGCAATTTTAACCATGCAAAAACTTTCAAAAAAGGTTTACAATTTTATTTGTGAAATATACTAGGGAATTTGCAATTTTCTCCATACAAGAATTGCAAGTAGTAAAATCATTGTAGTGTGAGTTCATGTATATAAGCAAAAAGTGTCAAATCACATTAAATTTTTTAATTTTTTTAATGTTTTCTCTTTGTTTAGTGGGTACTTCAAGGGACACAATATGGAGGTTTACTTGAAAATAAGAGACTGAATATTATTTGTCTGGATATTGCATTTGACCCAAAGTTTTGAATGTCACAAGAAATTGACTAAATGACTCGATATCTTTCTGATTGCATTTCCTCACAATACATAGTACAATATTCTATTTATGGGAAGATTTCCCATTTACTACAAATAATGAGAGATTTATTATATTTCCTAATTTATAGGCTCTATATTAGGAATCCTAAATATATACAATTAATAAGCTAATTTCTGATTTTCTATCATTCCTAATTTGTACAACAAATAATGGAAAACAATTACATACATTTATGGGCAATAATAGCCCAACAGATTCTTTGCCTAAGACTGAATTTATACAAGGATCTATAATTGAAATCTTGAAATTACAACCCTAATTACCATATTTACACAACTCCAATATTATGTTCCTAATTACTATATATACATATTAACATTTCTAATTACCATATTTACATATCAAAAACAAAAGATAATCTTGCACCAAATCAGGAAATATTCTCTCAACACTCTCCCTCAAGCAAGTGATAGATATTTATCATTCTCATCTTGTTAATAAGAGTTTTGAAATGGTTTGTAGGTAGTTCCTTAGTCAAAATATCAGCCAACTGCTCTCCAGATGGAATGTATGTTGTTTCTACGAGGCCACTCTCCATCTTTTCTTTGATGAAGTTCCGGTCTATTTCAATATGCTTTGATCTGTCATGTTGGACTAGATTATGAGCAATACTAATTGGTGATTTATTATCACACAAGAGCCTCATAGGAGTTTCATAGGGTACTCTAAGGACTTCAAGGATCTTCATTCATAGTAACTCACATATCCGTTGAGTCATGAATCGAAATTCTGATTATGCACTTGATTGCAATACTACATTCTGTTTTTTACTTCTGCAAGTCACCAAGTTTCCACCTATGAACATGCAATGTCCTAAAGTGGATCTTCTATCAATGGTTGATCCGACATAATATGCATCAGTGTACATCACCAATGATAATTTGTCTTCTTTCTTAAACATTAGTCCCCTACTAGGATTATTCTTCAAATACTGAAAAATTCTAGTAACTACTCACAAATGTCTTTACTGTGAATCATACATAAATTGACTTACTATGCTGACTACATATGATATATCAGGTTGAGTGTGGGCTAAATAGATCAGTTTTTCCACCAGCTTCTGGTATCGAACTTTGTCAATTGTTGGACCCTTTTCTTCACTTCCAATTCGATGATTTTGTTCTATGGAAGTTCCTGCAGTCTTGCATCCCAACTTACCTTGTATCTTTGAGAAGATCAAGGATATTTCCTCTGAGATATGAAGATGCCTTGTTTTGAATAAGCAACTTCAATCACTAGAAAATATTTTAGCCTCCCAAGGTCCTTCATCTCAAATTGCGTTGCTAACTTCTTCCTTAGCTCTTCTTTTTCGGCCTCATCATTTCTTGCAACAATCATATCATCCACATAAACTAAAAGAAGTGCTAGTTTTCCCTTTGAAATAAAGGCAGAAGGTGAATAGGAAATTTGAAATAAAGGTTGGGATGTCAACATTGAATATTGACGATGTCAACAAAATGACCTGCAATGAAGGCTAGGGATATCATGACTAATAACATGAAGGATTTTATCTATGACAACTTCATGTTTTCAGTAATGATCCAATAGTACCCCTTTACCCTTTGACATCTATTAAGATGACCTGCAATGAAGGCTAGGCATACCATGGCTAATAACATGAAGGATGTTATCTATGACGACTTCATGTTATCAAAACTGATCCAATAGTACCCCTTTACCCTTTGACATCTATTGGGATATCCACATTGAATGTTGACAATGTCAACAAAATGACCTACAATGAAGACTAGGCATATCATGGCTAATAACACAAAGGATGTTATCTATGTCGACTTCATGTTATCAACACTAATCCAATAGTACCCCTTTACCTTTTGACATCTATTAAGAAACTTGGGCCTAACTCACTCCCAACAGAACTAGCTCATAAGAGGACTATTCAAGTCCTTATAAGAAGCATTTTGCCTCTACTTCTAGTCAATGTTAGACATCTTAACACACCCCCTCACGCACAGGGATGGACATTTGCAGGGACCCCACAGGATTGGACTTTTGTGGACAGTCCAACATTCAAACTCAGATAGGATTTGATACTATATTACGAAACTTGGACCTAACTCATTCTAAAAAAGCTAACTTGTAAGAAAAGGACTACTTAAGTCCTTATAAGAAGTATTTTGAGGGACATATTAACAACAACTCACTAACTAAACAATAATATTTAGTACATGATACCTTAATTTAGCTTAAAGGTAACTATTTTTGTAACTCATCTTTGAATGAAAGCATCAAATAGTTTTGAAAATTTGGAATAAAGATTGTCAAAACAGGCTACACAGTTGATTCATGCTCAAGCTCCCTCAAACTAGGAGAAAAAATCCTGCATTTTTTAGGTTGAAAATAGAAGCCAAAATTCAGCCCAAACGTGCATTTGATATTTAAATATATATTGGACCAGCCCAAACCCAATAAAAAGGCCCACAAGCCAACCCAAAATATCACAAATTGATACAAACATTAAATCAAAACCCAAGCTCTATGTTTTAGTAGACTTAATCAAACTTGTTTGGTTGAATCTACTTTATTAAGGTAACAAGTGTGAATGAAGAATTTTAACATTAAAAACAAATAAGAAAGTCAAGCAACATATAAGTAATAAAGATGCACAACCTAAAATTTTAAAGTTTTGGAATTGATATGATATTAAGTTTGTATGATTTGCTTGTAACTCATTGATAAAAAGATTTCTCTAGTGTTTTGGCTCACTCATATAACCCAACAACTAGTATCAAAGCCAATAATGATAACTAATAGTGATACTAGTTAAATATTGACAAGTAGTGACTAGCGCTCTTGTGTCACTATAAGTATTTGAAACTTTCACTAAACAAAAAATATACCTAATGAAAGAAACTCAAATTTGAGGCAGAAATTGTTAAGATAGCAAGTGTAAGTAAAAGAGTCCCACATTAGAAAATAATGATAAAAGTATCACTACAGAGAAAAAGACTTACATATGATTTTTATTGACTTGGAAAAAACATATGACCGTATATTAAGAGAAGTGTTATCGACCAAGGTAGTTAAAATCGGGATTTTACTTTAAATCGTAAATGAGAGTGAAAATAGTCCTAAAATTGTAAATTGAATCGTAAGATTTTATAAAATTCATATATATGATATAAATTCATATTATTCATATAAAATATCATAAATTAAGGAGAAAAAAACCTTCAAATCAGTAAAAGCACTTAAACAAAGTAGCACTCACAAATCATAATTTATTCCATAAGAATGTAGTACATTGACGTGAGTAAAAAATAGACTAGAACAGAAAAGATGCAAAAACAGCAACACTAGACTTGAACTCAGAGCAGTAGCACAATGCTGGGTTTAGTTGCAGACCAGGCTGCACACACTAGGAAGACTGTTGAATGTTGACAACGATGTTAGGGTTCAAAGCTAGTAGAGGCAAATTGGATTAAAAAGGAGATATATGAAAGAAGCATAAACTACGATAAGGTTCAACAAAAGAGGCTTTGCGAGGAATTTTCAAAATCGATATGAAATCGTGAAATCCCACGATTTGAGGAATTTTATGATTCAAATCAGGATTTTACAATGATTTACTCAACCAGGAGTTTATCCATAATTTAAATCGGTAACTTCCAAAATCGTATAATCGTAAGATTTTATGATTCAAATCGGGATTTTAACTACCTTAGCTTTCATTGCGACACCTTTCCGTAGCTACCTTCCTTTTATCCTATTCGCCTTCATGATGACATTATTTTTCCTAAGCCACATTCATTGCAAAAAGCCCAAGCACCTTTGTTGTGCCTAATATTGCTTTCTAGTGATGTTGTTCAAGCCAGCCAAACCCCAAAATTCCAATTGAAATCATCATTGCAAGTGTTCTCATACACAATGACAAGATGTTCATATGGCAAGAAAAAGGATGATTAATTCTTAACATTAATCCCGCTCAGAGTTAGCTATTTCTCAAGTTTGAAAGATACTATCAACCAATATATCAGCAAAAGTTATGTGTGTAAATCATGCATATTATTTGCATATAAACTAGCATCCAGTTGTCTTAGAATTTAACTTATTCATACTCAGTTCTAAGTAAATTATATTAATCTTTAGTTAGAACTACTACTTTTAGCTTTTAGTTATTTTTGTAGCTGAAAACTTGGCATCAAAAGCAGAGGAATATGAAGAATCGTGCTTGTAGGGTGTTCATATAAAGTTTGAAGCACAATTTGTACATCATTTAGTATGGCAGCAAAATCCAACATCTAGCAGAAAATCTCTATGACCACAGATTGTGCAAAGGAAGTTAAGCTCAAATAAGGCAAAGAAAGCAAGTTCTATAGGTACCCTGCAGAAAAATACCAAGCTCAGATTGTAGGCTAGTGTTCAGCAGCAGCAGAAATATCTCTGTACATGCAACTCTTGTTGAAGTCCCACATTGACTATAGGTATAACTAAATTAAGAGTTTATAAAGCTAAAAGCTCAAATTCAATATGGTATCAAAGCCTATTGTAAATTCGATATTGGGTCACCTTTGGCTGGAAAAAAAAAAACTGATCCCATGAATTTTTCCAGTTCAATTAACTTGGCCAAGTGGCCTAATGGATTTCCCATACAACTTACCTGGATCTATGGCTTTCCTAATGCTACCTACCTAGTCTTGCGACTTTTCCAGTGTAATATTAAAAAAAAATAAAAAAAAAAGAGATTAAACCGAACACTCTAAATGTCCAATCTTGAGCAAGACAGGGTGTGTTGAAGTCTCACATCTACTATAGATATGGCCAAATAAGAGCTTATAAAGGTTAAAGCAATTCTCACCTTACAAGCGAGTTTTTGAGGTTAAGCTTAAAGCCTGAATTCAACAGCTCTCATGCAAAACCCAGAATCTCATCTTTTCTCATTCTTTTTTGTTGGACAAAAAAGCCCGTGTTTAAACCTACCTATTTTAAGCAAAAGAGGGTTCATTTATAAGGGGTTTCACATGAGAGAATAGTTGTCTTAAACTCCCATTTTTAAACTTGTTGTTTCACAGTATCATAGGTATAAGATATATGAACTGATTTTCAGCATAATTTGACCAAAATAGTTTTAAAGCTACTGACCATGATTTTGTCAATTAAAATCATGGATTTTAGAAGCTAATCAAAGTTGCAACTTTACAACTATAATACAAAACATTAAAGCAAGTATGAAAGTCAAAGGGAATCATGTCTTTGATGACTTGCAGGAAACACCACACTGATTAACCAAAAATTGGAATAAGGATAGCTAACAGATTCTAAAAGGCATATGCAGGAATCGAAGAATATATCAACTTTAATGAAATAAAGCATCAACATCTCAAAAACAGTACTTGTATATGAAGTCTTATGACAGCATCAATAAGAACATATAACTTGCCTCATTGTTGCACAATATTTCAATAGAAGGCTTAATCTTTTCCCAAGTTTTAAATCCAGATCGGGAAGACCCATCCCCAACTGCTTGGTGCTGTAATTGTGACCCAGCAAGTCCAGGGGGGAAATTACCATCGGCATTGACACTATCCAAAGGTTTGTCAACCACCATCTTTTCTATAACATAATTAATAACCTAAATTGAAACAAACAAAGCTCATTTAATCACTCTGAAATGCATCATCAAACTGGGAAAAACAAGCCTACACAATTCATCCAAAAACAAAGCAATAAATCCTTTTGGGAAGTATAATCGTGGTTACTACACAACATACACAAAGATCAATTATTCTGTGAATATAACTCTAATATGTCATAGAAGCAATCAGCCAAAATAATATTGAAACTTGTCATCATATGAACAGAACTCAAAATCTGACCATTATTTATCAATGAGACATCATGAATACAGGACTCAATAATACAGCTTGGCCTTTCATAGTCATTAACATTCTGACAAAGTTTAATATTCTATTAACCTCAAAATGCATATATAAGGTGAAAATCTAGTGGTCTCAGTGTTGGCTGAGCAATCTACTTCAATTAACTGCATTGATGCATAATTCACTAAACATAGAATCCATAGTAAAGAAGGATAAGAGTTTTAGTGGGGAAGTGACACACAACAACCAGAATGAGTGTACATAAAACTGATTTGGAGGCAAGAACGTAGAGAAAATAATTAGGTACAATACACAGGAGAGTGGATACTAGAGACAAGAGAAATAAAGGAATAGAATTAAGGTAAGAAGACACAGTAATCTTGAATTTCAAATCAAAATCTAACATCCCATGTAGAAATGGTAAAACCAAACTTGATATGCAAGTAACCATGATTTTAACAATCATTAAAAAATTATTAAAAATCGCAACAACTAAATCTTATTCAACTAAGTCATGTCAGTTACATGGATCATACAACATAGTCAAAAATCAAATTCTCTTTGATATTATGTATTTTTAGTTCTCTTTTAATAATTTTCTCTAAATTTTTTGAGTCTTGATCTATCCTTTTTTACCAAATTAAAAGTTATATCATTTACTCTCCTCACTAGTGCCTTTAGTGGCCTTCTTTACATGTGTCAAACCACTTTAATTGATTTTGTCATTTTTTTCATAATTGGTACTATTCTAATATGCTCTCTTCTACGGTTATTTTTTATCATATGACCACTCATCATCTTAGCATTTTCATTTCTGCAAATCTCACTATTTCTTGTGTTATTTCTTTAAAGCTCAACAGTTGCTACCATATATGATAATTGGTCATACAACAAAACTATTCTTTCACTTTAATAAGTACTTTACAATCACAAATAATCCTAAATCTTTCTCCATTTTAACTACCTCACTTGTAGATACTAACCCAAATTATTAAAATACTTTAATAACCCAAATTTACTATACATTATGCATATTCGCATACCTAATATTCTAATCTCAAAGACATCGAGAAAAAGAAGGGGAAGAGAATGACTAAAAAGAAATAAAACAAAGAATCACTAGAGAATAACAATTTAAATTCCAAATGATTGATTGATAGAATAAATCAAAAGCATTCCTCAATTGATAAATAGCCCAAATAATTCATCATCATTGAAAGTAATTAATATATTCAACGGCTAATGAAAAAATCCTATTTACAAATTTACAATAAATTCCTAATCTAATACAATATCAAACATGATATGTCCATATTTCCTTTCATTGTTGTCCACAGCACATGCCATGGCAAAGTTGTGATGGAAAAGGATAATTCTGCCTTAAAACCTTCATGATGTAGCATCTTTGGCATAGGGAGCATCTGCAATGGTAAAGATGGTTGACAGAGTGGCAATTTTTTTCCCCAATTCCCATTTTATGCTTTGTCCAGTGGCTTCTTAATTGTAGAGGTGAATGTCTTTCAGTCCTCTCAGTCAAGACTCAAAACATAGAAATAAATTAGGAGAAAAACGTTCCACAACACCAGTTAGCTCCTGACATGCAAATCTAAAACGTGGGTTCTCAACAGAGAGCTATGTTGAGCTTCCTCCCCCACCCTGTACCCCAACTGAATGTGCCTTTCAGTCCTCATAGTCAAAACTCAAAACATATCAATAAATTAGAAGAAAAACATTCAAGCACACCAGTTAGTTCCTAACATGCAAATCTAAAACTTGGGCTCTCAACAGAGCCAAGTTAAACTTTCTCCCCCACCCTGTACCCCAACTAACAAAAAAATTAAAGATCACACCAAAATCCTCAAGGACTGTTTGGTTTCAAAATATATTTTCTGTTGAAATTTTCTTTTTCATTTAATCACAAAAATGCCACATTGTTTTCATTTTGTTTCTTATTTTTTTTCAAAGATTTATACAAGAAACAGTGAAAAAGTTGTTTTTCACTATTTCACTTACAAATATTTGACAACATAAAACAAAATTAAAACAAAGGAGCATTTTTGTAATTAAAAGTGAAAACAAGAAATGAAAACAAAATAAGTTTTATAAAACCAAATATCTCCTTAGTCACATGACTTTCATGTATGTTCTTCCTCTAATCACATTTTTCCATTATTTCTTTGCTAACTGTCAATGGAACTGTCTTATTCCTGTGTGTCTGTCTTCTTTCATTATCTTCTGCAATTATGGCATATGCATATATCTTTTTCACCTCTTTTTATGTGTTTGATATACTTTTCTATTTTCTTTCAATGAACAACATGAATTCCACCATGGCAATTCTGAGGATTGCCACCACAAGCCATTGACAACACTACTTACTTTTCCCATATCTCACCAAGTTACTTTTGTATTCCATGCCCCATCGGAGATGGACAAAATCAAACAAAGGAAAGGAGGCACATTTGCTTAACCACTAAAGAAGATATGTTTAGGTACATGGGAAATGTATTCAAAAAACATGATATAGCATCCCTACAAGAAGGAAACAATGTCTTGACAGCCATTTTTTTACAGATGGAATAGATTAACATAGCAAGTTCAGGCAATGTTAAAAGCAACTAATGGCTTGAATTCAAGGACAAAGGGACAGAACGTTTCCATTCATATAGAAATAAAGAAAGGTTGAGAAAGCACATGAAATTCTTGTTTGATTTCTTTCCCATTTGTCCATCACTATGAAATATTAAAACTTACTTTATGAATTCTTAATATACGTGGAGCACTTAGCTTCCCTTGGGTGAGGATCTGGAGACTAGAACCTTCACATGGATGCAAATAGAAACTGCATCTGCAAAGGTTATCACAAAAGAATCTATATTAAAGGGAACATTATGTAACTGACCCAAGAGAAATGATAATTATAAAGATTTCCAGAGTTATAAAATAGCCATCATGGTCAGTAACTCAAATCCACAGGTAATGGTCCACTTGTTTTCTTAAGCCCACAACAGTAAGAAAACAAATTCAAACTTTTTATGAGTATAACCTGAAGTGCAGAAAATGTAAAACATGCTATGAGAAATACATATAACCGAGCAACATATACCACTGGATTGATAAAAGCAAACTACTACCCACATAAGAAAATCCCAAGGTGATTTCAATTATAAATAATTACTATGTGAAATACCACCATATTTTTTTGGATGTGTATAAAATACCATAATATGACCATCCAGAGTCAAGTTTTCATTCCAAAAGTTGACAAGGAAAACAGCAACTTTAAATCATCAAAACATGCCTCCAATAGGACTTTGAACAATAATAGATTCAAAAAAGAATCAGCCAATCATGCTCTAACAAAAATTGCAAATTGCCATGACCCATGAACAAGCTTTCTTCCTTGCTACTACAAGCATAAAACTGTACAGGAAGGCAAAACGTTACTTCGTATTTTCTCTAGGAGGTAACCGATTATTCAATATGCAGTCCAGACACCACCGGGGAAAGTCTTTTTCATCCTCAGTTCCATCTAAATCAGTCACTTTTTTCCTCCAGGGACCTCCGTGACTTCCCTCAGTAACAATGGAAGGAGGGGAAACAACCGAGAATTCAAATGGAGGATAAACCATAGCATCTGTCTCTGAACTTCCATCAACCTCGATTCTTGAATGCGTAATGCTTCTAGTACCAATATCCTTTCCAGGTAATAATTCCCCATTAGCAGGAGTTGGAGTCTCCATTCTCTGCTTTCTTTTTATCAACCAATTAGCCAAGAGTCCTTTCAGTGCTTCTCGGGCCAAGTTAACCTGTAGAGCAACAAGAAAACTCATTAGCCACTACCATATATCTAAAGAAATAAACAAGCACAATTTTGGTAGTTCGTAGTAAATTATATGTGAGCATCTTCCAAATGTCATTTTAAGCACAAACATCCTGCATCAGAAAATTGTAAAAGCACATAATACAATACCACCACAGAAATATAACTCAGTTACCTAGGACACAATACTCTTCAGTATAGGCACATGGTAAGCATTATATTACTTGATAAATATACAGTGCATCACGGGCATACTTCATACATTATTTAAGTTTATACTACATTTTACTATATTAATTAATACACAGTGAATATAAATATTTTAAATTTTTAATGTATAATATATATATATATATATATATATACAGATCCATTTTAAATAAATAATATATTTTTACTTATTAATAATTGATTATTATTTATTTTGTGTTGTGTTTTATATATACTCATTTATTGTTAGCATGTGTTTCACTTACCAACAACTTAATAAAGTAATAAGGCCTCTTCCCCAAACTAAATTCATTATTAAACCTTTCAAATTGCATCCCCTTCCCACTGTCATGTGAACTGCCCCCTCTCCCTTACTTTCCTTTTTAAAGTGTATTCCTAGGTCTCTTTGGGTTTATTGTAAAGAAAGTCTCTCTTCTTCCTTGCGTTAACTTTTCATGTCCTCCTTTCTCAGCAAAAAACAGCCTTTGCTCTTCAATTAATTCTTCATAACATTTCCATTACATTTTTGTTAATTATTGGACAGAATAATGTTTATCGTTGGGAAACTATGAAGATTAAATTGTGAACAATTAGAACTAGATGGACAAAAACCATAGATAGACTTTTTAGATGGGTACACTGGATTTTAGTAGTTATAGCTAATAATAACATATCAAAGACTAGGAGCAAAATCACTATGACAAGAAATTTAAGGGAAGGGCATGTAAATTGCTAATGAGAATAAATTCATTTACCTTATCATCTTCAGGCTTGCCTACAATGTTTAGATCTGCTGAATACATCTCGGCAGAAAAGCACTGGGGAGTGTCCAAATGTATAGACAAACATCCAAGCCTGGTATCCACAGTGAACCATGCAGGAATGCTAACCTGAAGCAGTATGCAAAGAAATAAAAACCAGTCAGAACTAAAAAGTAATACAACTATACAAGTATTATTAGAACTAAATTGGCAATGACAAGTATCTGTAATCATACCGTCTCAAATAGTTCTTCTTTTTTCTCCTCAAATGAAACCTATGTAGTTCACAAGTAAAGCATCAGCTACTTTTAAATTACAAATGAGACCTATTAGCTATAGTTGAATTTCAAAAATCGTAATCAGCATAACTAGGCAGATCCATTCAAGTTACAACAACAATGAAAGGAATTATATAATGAAAGAAAGTGTTGAATTTGGGTTTTAAGCCTAACTCAACCCCAAAAGCTATCTCGTAAGGTGAGGATTGCTTTAGCCTTTATAAGCTCTTATTTAGGCATATCTATAGTCGATGTAGAACTTCAATACACCTGTCACGCTCAAAATTGGACATATAGAGTGTGGCAATTGTAGGATTATTTGTTTTTTCAATATAGCACTGGATAAGTTGCAGGACCAAGTAGGTAGCATTGGGAAAGCTGCAGGACCAGGTAAGTTGCACTACCAAGTTAATTGCAGTGGGAAAATTGTGGGGCCAAATTGTTTTTTTTTTTTGCCCAATATCAGATCTATGATAGGCTTTGATACCTGCTGAATTTGAGCTTTAAGCCTAACTCAACCTCAAAAGCTAGCTTGTAAGGTAAGGATTGTTTTAACCTTGATAAACTCTTATTTATATATATATATATATATATATATATAGTTATGTGGGACTTCAACAAGAACAATCAATTCTCACCTTCCCATAATCTTCAACTACAACACCTTTTGTAATTTCCCACAACTTCACTGAACCATAAGTATCCTATAAAGAGACATGTATCACCTCAGAAGATGGCAAAAAGATTATTAATTTAACAGAATAAACAATATTAACATTTTTGGCATAACACCACAAACAGAAAACACCATGATTACCTTTGTCAGGACATGCCTCCTATTAGGTAAAACTTCATGTTGTAGTATTGCAGGGGTGCCACGAATAGTTAAGGTCTGTTGTTTATATACAGGAACCTGTTGATATTTGTAATTTTGGCAACAAAAAAGAAACTAATTAGTGCATCAGAAGAGAAACCAAAGAATATTTATATTTGAATATAAACTTTTTTAGAGGACAGATTCTACCATATCCCCAAAAAGGAAGCTCTAAAGAGGGATACATAAAGAAATATGCTTCACCTTTATTTGTACACAACATTTTACATAAGCAATCAGTATTATGTGTTCTCAGAACAATACACCAATTGTTAGATATCATAAAATTAGTATGTTTCTCTGTTGAGAAATAAATATAACATACAGGGGTAGATCCTTCTAGTGACACCCTTGCTCTTGAAAAGGACAAATTTCCAGCTAAAAAAGAATTGCCTCTTTGGAAGATCTTTTGAGGGTTGTGTCCTTCAGCAGGCCATCTTTGAACTGAAGAGTCCGTTGATGCAACCCATATGCTGTCGTCATGCAAAGCCAATTTAAGAATAGGGTATTCACCAGTGCAAAGTAAAACACTCGCTCTCGTTTGCAAGTCTGTCAAGTATAACTGATCAAATAAAAGAATTAGGCATTAGTAGATGAGCTTCACAAGTTAAACACAACAATGAGATATCACATAAATTCCAACTCATAATAATTAAAAGAATTATTTTATCTGTAAAGGAAAACTACACTCACAGAAAAATCTCTACCACCGCTATAAACATGACTAAATGTTGAAGTGCTGGCAAGAGCCCAAACAGAATCTGTGTGAACTGCATAAGAATGCACACAACGTTGCTGACCAAGATCCCAAAGCCTATGAGGAAAGATGGTAATATTAGTCAACCATATAACAAACAAGCACAACCTCATTATCTTGAAAAGAAAATACAGCACCTTATCATAGAGTCTGAAGATCCTGATAAACAAAATCTGCAATAATAAATATTATAAATATCTCAGCTCCTTAGGGAAAAAGTATTACTTATTCTAACCTAATACAAATTGAGCAATGAAATGAATGGCTCTGTGCAACTATACAGAAAAGAAAACATTTCATTCAGTATACTATTACCAATTAAATAGCAATCCTAGAAATTGACAACAAAAATATTGTGTTTGAATTAACCTCCTTTTCATCCTCAAAAGATTTTCAGTCATCAATTTAGTCCCTCTATAATCTGAAGTGTCATCATTTTGGTCCCTTGGTTACCATCCATTAGAAGGCTTTCTAATAGACACTGATAGGACAAAATCATCAGTGTCCAAGTAATGGACCATATCAGTGTTTATTTGACATCCATCCAACAGAGGGTAACAAAAGGACCAAAACAATGACTCATGAATTTTGAGGAACTAAAATAATAGTGAAAATATTTTGAGGACTAAAGTGATGATGCTAGTATATGAAAAGGGCAGGTTTAGGTTACTCTATATGTTGTTTATGTACACAGTTATTAATAATTATATATTGTAGCAATGCATAGAAATGCCATACGAGAAAGAACAGTGCAGAAAAAGATAGAGGGAGTTTTATGATAATAAAGATTTCATAAATAAACTATGAAATCCTAAGTCCTAACTCTAATGTTTGTAAACAGTAACTTGACTATCTTGAGTAGAAGAAATACTGTTTATATTTAAGGGGCAGGGAGGAGCAGAAAAATTTATGCATCCACTCAACAAACCTGCCAGTAGAATCAAGAAGCAAAGCCCTGATGTTATCTGTATGCCCTTTTAGCTTTAAAGTCTTTGATCCAGATCTTGGATCCCAAACACGTACAACCTGGAAGAAAAAACAAAAAGGAAGCATGCTCAGGGTTAATCTAGCAAAGGATATTCAATCTAATATAACAGTAAACACCTTTATATTCCAGTGGTAATAACAGAAGCCACACAAGTAAAACATGAATGCCACATTATACCTTTTCTGTACCACCAGAGACGAGAAGTGTACCGCCTTCATTCATTGCCAAAGCATAAACAGATTCCTTATGGCCTTTGGCAGCAATTGGATTGTATCCTTGAGTTTGAGTAGTGTGCATGGATATATTGTTGCTTGAGCTAATGGTGCGTAAGCTTGCTGTTGGTAATGAGTTTCCAGAACCATTGATACCATTTGAATTATCATCATCAGTAGCATCATTGCATTTTGCAGCCGAAGCAACAGCAGCTTCAATGTCCCATATAAAAACCTCCCCACCAAGGCCACCAGAGGCAACAATATTGCTCTAAAATTCACGACACTATTAAAAGATCAGAAAATGGATTATAAGATTCAAACTTTAAATTCAATCAAAACAAACAATCAGATTTGAATACATAAAAACAAGAAAATGAACCTTTTCTTGGTGCAATTCATAAGCATTAAAAGTTCAATGTACATTACATTTTTTTCAGCTGCTGCAAGGGAAGTAACATAATCTGAGTGTTGACGGAGTGTCCTAGTACATGCTCCAGCGGACAAGGCATTCCATGTCTGGCACAAACATACAGCAATTCAGTTAAAAAGGGACAGTAAAAACTAAATCAGTGCTGTTATAAGAGAAGAGCAAAGAATAATTACGAAAAAGAACAACTAAAATCAACAAACCTTGAGTGTTGTATCTGAAGAACAAGAAACAAGTACATTATCACCCACTAGAACTGCATCATTAACCTGCAAAAATAAAATAAAAATTTGTAACTGATGTTGTTAAGCATGTATCATAAATCGTGTAGGTATCATGTTTAGTTGTTATAAAGAACTCACTATTTCTATAATTCCTAATTGGATTGGCATAAACATGCATAGGCTCTTATAATTAAACCAAAAATATATAAGTCAAACAATGATTCTTTCTAGGCTCAAGAAAATTGACATACAAGCAATGTTATCAATGGCAGATGGCGGCTCATGCCGGAAACCAAAAAATCTGCCATAAAGTTATGGCGGCCGTCATGGCGAGTTATGGCGGATATAATAAAATACATAAAAAATATTATAATATGCATATATAAAATTTATGTACACAGAAATTTAATATAAATGCTCAAGAAATTCCCAAGATTACATCATCATTCCAAGTAACAGTAACAGTGTAAAAGAGAAAAATAGTGTAGCCAAATGTTATATTAAACAAAAAATGCTAAACAAAGCTTGAACAACAAAACAGAGGATGAATAGCAAAACAGATCTTGAACAGAAAAACAAGAATGATCAGTGAATAGAAAAATAGAGCTCAAACAGAAAAGCAGAATAGATGCTGGAAAAGCTGATTTCTCCGGTGAACAGAAAAAGCAAAGGAGAAATCAGAAAAACTGATTTTTCCAGCGAAATGGAGTAGGTGAGTCAGTGAGGATGGGAGAAATTGCTACCTTGAGGTTTTGGCTTTTCGTACAGAGAGGAAGAGTGTGGAGGAAGATGAAATATATGTTTTATCAAGGGTAAATAACCTTTCTACCCTTGCAAAAAATCAAAACGGTGCATTTTAAGAAAAACAGATAAGGGTTTCTTCCTTTCCCCAAAATCACGCAGTAGCACCTACGACTTCTCCCTATTCTGGCCGCAAACCACCCGCAATCGCCGCGATGTGACAAACACCCTGCGACGTGGCGGCTGACAGCTGCTCCGAACCGCACCAGCGCGATAACACAGCTATTAACAAGTCACCTTAGGGTTTTCTTGCACGGGTCAACCTCTGGACCAGGTCAGATTCACGGCCCAACCCTGCAAAAACATCATTTTTCAACAATTTCTGCCATGGCCGCTGTTACCACCATGGGCGTAACGGCTGCCATGGCGCCGCCATGGAAAAACGCCATAAAACGCTAACACGGTAACGGCAGGGTTAATTTCTGCCACCGAATTCCGCCATGGCCGCCATTTAACAACACTGGATACAAGACGGCGGATGGGCTAGATCTCAAGAAACTAGTAACTAAAAATTAGACCAAAAATAGGAAGGATATTTTAAAGGTGAAGAAAATAAGGAAAGATGATGAACCAACAGCCAAGAGAAATTCAAATTTTCAGTGAAAATTGAAATTGTCTCTTTCAGTATTAAAACAAACCTCAATTGTGTTTTTAAATTTTGGGTACAAGAGAAATTGATGGGCTTAAGGCTACTGACCTCTTAACACCACAAAAAAAAGAGAGAGACACTGAAGACAATTGAAAGTACATGTATTATAAGGATGCTTGATGAAGAACTAAACAAATAAATACATAAAATTTTATATCAACTTCCCTAAAATGACATATTTTGCGCATATCATGATGAAATGCTACCTCATGTGCACCTTTTAACCTGACCACTAAGGTTAGTGTTTAAGCAAGAAAATTACACATAATTAACACAAAACCCAAAAAAAAGAAAAAAAAACAGAAGCATTAGATAGATAAGGATTACCCAATCCACATGAGATTCAAAGGTAGTAGAGCATGTTGCCATATCCTCTGCTGCTAGTGCCCACCGTTTTAGCTTGCCATCACGGCTCCCAGTGAAGAGATAATCAGTCCCATCAGATACTGCAGATTTAAGCACAGCCAAACAATTGATGCCTGCACAATGCTGCAGAAAAGAACCAACATTCAAGAGAATATAGATACACCAAGCAAGAATATTGTCAAATCTTTAAAGGGTTTCCAACTAAAACATGCAAGATTGACACAAAAATATCACCTATTACATGCACCTTATAATGGAAGCAAAATGCTAAGTACCTAACCAGAATGATACAGCACCATAGTGTACAACAACTATTGATGAAGCTTTGATTGATTACAAGGTAAATAAGCATTCTATCAAAGGATTTAGAGCTCATAGATACAGAACAATATGAATACCACCTAATAAACATTAAGAATGAAAAGATTGATATCATACAGTTGACAAGTTTAGATGCAAGTCTCAAACAAACAATCAGTGGGGCGCAGGTTACAAAAGACAAACATGAAACTTGGCCAAATTCCCGGAATAAATAGAATAAAGAAATAATGAGTTCACCTTTGTGTCATCAGAATCATTCAACACATATGTTAATCTCTTCTCCTTACGAGGTCGACTTGAATTGTTTGTGTTCCCCGCACTACCAACACGGTGCATTGCCAAAACTATGAAAGTGAATAAATGATAAATCAGACAGCATAAATAGCAAATCCAGGAGTAAATTAAAGAAAATGTAAATGAAAGGTATAATACTGATTTAAATGACTTCCCTCAACCATACATGAGTCCCTTACATTAAAAAATAAAATAAAATGTATATTTAAAAGTGGTTAGTAAGATGCAGAGGTGGTAATCTCAACTGAATAATATAGTTCACAAGTGTTACATAAGGAAACCCATATTAACACTTTGACTGCATTCTATGAAATTATTTGGTTGGAGAATCGTAGCCAACCTCACCTAGTAAGAAAAGGCTTGGTTGTTATTGTTGTATTTGGTTGGAGAATCAAGGATCAACTTGTACGCCTCAATGATCAATCCTAACAAATTATTCACACACTAATTTTCAAAATATGTCTCAGACAACCTCTTCACACTAATCCCAACAAGTTATCAAACAACCCAACTTTGGTTTCTGCCAAATGCCAATCTAGGAGCTTCAGAATCTATCCCTATTGCCAATAGACCAAAGGAAATACATAAAGCCACCCCACCAGCATAATTGAACAGTTGACAATGTGTTCATTAATCCTAATAATTCACCAAAAAAAGAAAAATTTCAAAAGTTCAATGTACAGAAAAAAAAAGTCTCAAGTTTCAAGGGAACCCATGAGCTTCCACAAAAGGCCACCTATATCAATGTATTAGGCATAACAAAGGATTTCTGAGACTAAATAAATCCAGGGCATCCAAATCTTTGCAAAGACAGCAGTAATTTAAAGTATATCCAATACCCAAACTCAATAACAGAAATCTGTACCAAGCCAAATTGCAAATGTAATGAGTTTTAGCAGTCTAATACAATGAAAAATAACAAAATCAAAGGCTAGAAAAAGCAGCTCAGAAGTCAAAAGTCTAAAGCCCGGTGGAAATGTAGAAGCAATAATTCCATTGAAACGCAAGCAACACGCTTAATGCAACCTTATATAAGACCATGATATCATGTAAATATCAAATAACATGAAAACACAAAATCATAATTTGATGAATTGAAGCCTAAACTACACCATTAAAGCTTTTTCCCAATCTAAGCCCTGTCCTTTTCCCCCAAAATAATTTCCATCAGCCTATCACTCCTCACTTTGTCGACAATGCTTTCTCAGCATTCTCAACTCTGCAATTCCACGCCTATAACATGTTTTTTTTTTTTTCTTTTGCAGTCACACTTCGATAATCTTTGCATCCAGCCGAAGCTCAAACTCATTCACCCTTCGATATCAAATTCGCAAAAAACAAAATGCGAATTCAAAGTCAAGCACACGGTTACATATCAATCACCCATGACAAACCTATAGAACAGAGAACAGAATGTTCAAGCCGAAGCTATCAAATAGTTCAAATCCTTCCTTATATGATGGAGTAGGAAAACGTAAAAGCAAATAATAAATAAATAAAATCTTAAACCGCCATGCAACACGATTAGGCATTTCAACTTGGAGTGTACCTAAGCATAAAAATTTCTATAATTAAGACGAACAAATAATCGAAGAAATCAAGAAAGAGTGGAAGACAAACTGAAGGTCAAACCTCTATCAGTTATGAATGTGTAGCACTGTTTTTGTTCCTGTTCGTTTGCTTACAGGAAAGATAGGGAAGAGAGGAGAAAGAAGAGAGTGGGAGTGAATTAGTATGCAAATGTAAATGGGCTTGGATTTTATGTGGCAGGTTATTTGACTTGGTTTGTGTTTCTTAACTGAGGGCAAGATGGTCTTCTCACACAAGATAAATCTCAACAGCTGGCTCTCAGGTTTTGCGTTCAGGTTTTCCGTATTTACAGCCTTACCGTTTAATTAACAATTTACCACGTTTTGTTATAGCGTTCTAACGGCCATGTTCAATTTATTTGCAACTTTTTAGCTATAAACGTTTAACGGATTTTTTTATCAATGTTCTTTTATATTTTCCTTATTATTTTTTCATTAATAAGTTAATTCAATCCTTTATCATCTTCAAATTGATTTTAATAATAAGAATACTCAATAATGTAAAGAAATGGGTAAATACAGTAGGATTTGCAATTTATATAACATTAGAGTTGGACAAAAAATTGCATGTTCAAGCTGTTTAAATTTTGATAAATGAAAATCAATTCTACCATACCACTAGATACTCATATTTGTCTTAGGTATGACATTACACTTGAATTGATCTTGTGAGATTGTGTTGAAATATGATATAAATCTGAAATTTATGAGTGTCGTAGCTGAGTTTGATTTTTTCTGTTTTTGTTGAAGGCTACTAGAAGTATATGTAAATAAATTCCAACTGACATATATGATAGAGAATTCATAATGTTATATGTTTGGAGAAATTGGACATTGTCAATATTTAAATTTCTTTACAGTTTTCTCAACATGATATTCTTGTGACGACTTTTTTTTTAATGTATTGAGTAAGGAGAAAATTTTAAAAATAGAAAAAAAAAATTAAAATAGTTCCTAATAATCTGAACTGAGACTGTAATCACATTAAAGTTTGATTTAACACAAAACTCTATCTTAATATTTAAATTTTTTTAGAATTTTTCTACATAATGTTTAACTTTTTTTAAGTTATTTGATACAATACTAGTAAACTTGAAGAGTATTCTATATGTAATAAAAGCAAACACACAGGTGACAATTGATTAGTCGATGATTACACTTTTGCAACTTGAAACTTTTCACTTCACTGTGAAAAGAAAATAAAGATAGTCGTAAGAGCTTACATGTACTTGCATAAGAGCAAAGTATGAAAGAAATGTTTTACTAGTACATGAAAATGTATGTCAAGTACATATTTTTTTATCGAATGAGATTAAGAGGAAATTGACTTCATAACTTAAATATTTTAAGAAAATTAAAGTTGTAAAAATTCCTTTCTATAACATTTGAATTTTGAGGGAAGAGTAATGATGAAATGGATGGGTCCAAAAATAGACATAGTCTACTATTTACAGAGCATGACCGGTCACGATGGAGCACCTAACTTTGGCATAAATGTTCAGTTTAATCCTTTTCAAATCATACACCTTTTCTATCCCATAATATTAAAACCCAAACATTTTTATTGTGCAATAACAAATTTTATTTTTATCAATAAAGAAGGAAGAAACCTATAAGAATATATTTTTAACATCAGTCTTATTTCCAAACCATATACCTTTCATATTAAATACTATTAAAACTCAAACATTTTTACAGTTGTGCAATAACAAATTTTGTTTTTATCAATGAAGAAAAAAAAAGAAATCTAACAAAATATATAAATGATGACAATAACTCGAGAAAACATTATGAGTACATTACATATTACATAGTATATAAACTTTAGGTGAGCATAAGATTGGCTAATAATTAGACTTGGTTGAAGTTAACATTCAAAGTTTTAAGGCAAGTGAAGGAAGTGTGTCTTAACCTTACATGCACATCTACAATTTACGTGTCATATGCAAAGGGTTAAAGTACGGCTTGCCACACTTATATAGATATAGAGCTTGGTTATAAAAAAAAAAATAATGATGACTAGAACTGTCACGAAGAGCGGGGGATTTTGTGACATTTCGGATTGGCTGTCTTGTATTTCTAATAAGTTGTTTCATAGTTGGCATGGTGGATCCTATAGACTTTTGCTACTATAACCTTCCCAACCACGATTTTTTTCTAAGTATTTAATTTAACTTTGAAATAAGAAATTGTATTGATACTAGGTATCAAAAAATATAGTAAATTAAATAGGATATAGATAAAAAAAAATAATGGGTTCCATCGTTTCTATGATTATTTTTTAAACGACTAGGTCCTCTCTATACACCGGAGCCCCTTCTTTCATTTAATCCTTATTTAATCAATGTTATTGTTAACTTGTACAGTTCACATTCTTTGGCTCTACCCATGAAATATTTAGTAATAGGTTTTTTACAACGAAATCAAGTTATACAGTAACGGTGTTTAAGTACGAAAATTAGCTGGGTAACTGACCTTCTTATTCCGTTTTTGCAAAATAAATTAGGGGCATAATTTTTCTTTAATAGTATTTTCTCCGCTTAGTGGGTAACCATTTGTTACCAATGGAAAAGTGTTTCTCATCTTAAATTGCAAATTGGGGTGATTGGGTTTACACCAATCGAAATCATAAATTTTATATATGATAGAAGAATGCTTATATTATTAATAGATTTTTTTTTAAGTTAAGATAGTGTGAATGGAGTTCTTCCATTCACACTATCTTAACTGATCGCTAATACTGAAAAAATGGGTTTCTTTTTTTTTTTGTTAGTATAATGATCTAAACGAGTCACACATACACCCTGGTACATGTCCCTCGGCGCTGAGGGCATCCCCGAAGAGCGGGAGATTTCGTGACATTTCGGATTGGCTGTCTTGTATTTCTAATAAGTTGTTTCATAGTTGGCATGGTGGATCCTATAGACATAATGAGCCGGTTTAGATCAATCCTAACCTGATGATTATGAATTACTTATATTTTATTAATTTAATAGATTAATTAATAGAAAAAAAAAAGTTATATTAAATTAAAAGGATTAAGGAGATAAAATTCAATCTCAAATCCTGTATTTTTTTTTTTGAGAAGAATCTTAGTTACTAATTGTTTATTGAAGTGCTATAATATCAACAATTTCGTGGGCTTGGGCTTCTGCTGCTGACATAAAAACATCCCTTTCCATATCTTCAGATACAACCCATAAAGGTTTACCCGTTCTTTGTACATAAACCCTTGTGATAGTTTCACGCAGTTTCAGTAGTTCTCCCGCTTCCACGATAAATTCTCCCGTTTGTGCCTCATAAAAAGAACTAGCGGGTTGGTGGATCATTACCCTGATTATATAACTTTATAAGTCTTTTCTTTATCTTGATAAAGATTTTGATGCGGATTTTCCCAATATTAGTCAATATTTTCTTTCGTCCTCAAACTAAGGTGAAAAGAATAAATACAAATAAGAAAATAAATGAGCAAAGATAAGATTCAATAACCGTACAAGCATTTTTTGCGTATTGATGCATACGGCTTTTCTTTTCCACGTATCCAATTTCTTTTTTTCCTCTATGGATAGAGTATTTTCTCTATGGATTTTTTTCCATTGAAGAAAAAAAAATAGAAAATCTACTGGGTTTTTTGGATCCAGATCCTTAAATAATAAATAATACAATAACCAACCTTCCTTTTTCTTTTTGAGTATTTTTTTTTAAATACTATGATGGTTCCGTTGTTTTCTTATTTCGTCTTTTTTGTTATTCAGCAATCCGAAAGTTTCTTGTTTTTTATCATATGTTTTTTATTTTCTAATTAAAATAAATATTGTTAGACATAAATATTGTTAAAAGCTTTTTGGTATGAAAACTAAAAACAAAAAAGTCTGTGACACTAAAACTAAACTAGGTTCCTGATAGATCAGATAAAATCGTAAAAGCCCTCTCTTTCATACTACTTTTTCGATACATAATCAAATGGTTTAAAAAACAAAAATTTGTATATCGAATTCGAAGTACCATGCTATTATTACTTAAGTATTTTTATGGCGAAAGTATAGTCTTCATATATATTCTTAAATAAAAGAATCATTGGCGCCAAGCGTGAGGGAATGCTAGACGTTTGGTAATTTCTCCTCCTGCCAAAAGAAAGGATCCCATTGAAGCGACTAATGCCATACATATTGTCTGTATATCTGGTTGTACATATTGCATAGTATCATAAATAGCCATTCCGGGTATTATCCACCCACCCAGAGAATTTATAAACAGATACACATCTCTGTTATATTTTTCTATACCGAGAAATAGCAGAATGCCAATAAGTTGATTCGATAGTTCACTATCGACCTCTTGGCCTAAAAAAAGTAATCTTTCTCGATAAAGTCGATTGATTAGGATTTAATCTTATACCTTAAGAGTCGTACATGCACCTTTTGATGCATACGGTTCACTAAAAATCATATAAACAAAAAGGAATCAATGTGTCTATTTCAACCCTCTTTCCCTTTTCATAATGGACTCTTTTGAATTTTTAACGAAAAAAAATGTACTAAATTTATTGAACTAACTTCTCATTGATGTATTGCTTTCATCGAGATCGAACACAAATCACAATGTAATTTTCTTGTTTCTGAATGGACTTCCTCAATTCTTTTAGGTTTCTTTTCTACTCTGAGTAAGGATAAGGATCTGCCCGATTTTTATTTGCACATATAGGACAAATATTACAATACCATGTCTTTTTGTTACGACTTATCTCTTCTCTGAATTTATTATTTCATTTTTTTTGTAAAATATATGATATGATAGAAGTAGTAATTGTGGATATATTACCAATTGGTTTTTTTCTAAACAGAGTCTGGATACTTCGTTTTATTGGTCCAAGCAAGCCAACCATAAATTATTTTGAATTTCGAATAGTAATCTGGATATCCCCTCCAAAAAATAAAAAATCGATCGAATTGCACTTCATTACACTTCACGCTCCAAATTTTGGATGATTCAATCATTCTTTTTTGGTGGTGAAAGAGAGGATATCTCAATCGGGGGGGGGGGGGAGAACGGGAAAATCCCGTATGACCAAATATATCTGACAAGTCGCACTATATATCAATCCAAGATGCATTTCCTTCTCCAGGACTTCGAAAGGTTACTTTTGGAACAC